TTATTATTTAATCTTCCGTTGACATATCGAAAGCAATTTCTTAAGTACATCAGCCTTTTTGGTAGTTTTTTGTGTTAGCTCACCGTGAACTAGTTCATTTTGATGGCATTAGAGCATTTAAAGCTGATGTTTTGCCATTCGTAAAGCAAGTCAAGCTCTAGTTTGACAAAGTTCATCTATTCATTAGCTCATGTTGAACTAGTTCAACTAGTTCACCACCCTGCGGCAGGGCTACACAGCGTTTTAGTTGGCCGAATCTTTTGCCTATTTCATGTTTATCACTTCGCACGTCTTTTTCTTATGGTTTATAGTTCAGTTGCGCCATTGCGGCAATGGGTACTTCGCCGCGCCACGCCCCCCTTGAACTGTACGCCCATCTAAATGACGCATTTTGCCTTTGTTGTTGTTGTTGCCTTTATAACTTCTACGCGGCAGTCGTTGTTTATGCGCACTGCGTGATCACATTTGGTATCAAGGTGCTCGTTGCCATTGCCTCCTGTTGTCCTGAAGGTTAAGCCACCTCAATCATCTTAGGCTAAAGCATTTGATTGTTTTCATCGTCAGCCGTGGTGCGGCTGAAATTTAAAGAATTTTCACATTTGAGAATATTTTTATTAAAAATCGAATGGAATCAGTTTGGGCCACGTTTTGGTAACTGACTTAAGCTCAGTTAACTATGAACTTATGAAGCTGTACAGCTAATAGGGCCTCGTACATAATTTGCATAGTTTAACTTGCTGTTAAATTTAACATGAACATGAACAAACAAAGCAAGTCTTGTTTGGCAACTACAATTGATTTTGACATGGCAAATAGAGATGCCATTAAGCGTTGCCTTTCGAGTGAATTCCTAACACACACACGCACACACACACACACACACGCACACAGAGTCAGGCATACCTGGCTATGAAGCACCTGCATAGCTGTCGCTCGCATAGCTTTCATGATTTAGCAGTGGAGCACTTGATGCATCAGCATCCATCAGAGCGCACACGGATCATCAACAAGGACACTTCAGCAGCAGCAGCAGCAGCAGCAGCAACAACGACAACGTTAAAATCAAGCGCAGTGTATGGCAATTACAATAATGCATGAAGCACAACATAGTCATCCAGGTTGAAGTGGCCAAGTGTCGGTGACACGGCCAGACGGCAGCACAGCATGCCAGGACACCAGCAAATGAAGTGAGTGTCCTCGTTCGCTGACCAGCGGGCGGTGAGGTGTAGTCAGGTGAACGTCACTGATTACATGTACCCATAAACAACAACATAAATGCCAGCCAAGTTGTAAATGCCAACAGCACAGCTAAGCTACATGCAACAGCAGCAGCAGCAGCAGCAACTAAAACAACAAAGTTGATGCTCATCATGCGGCTGGGCCTGAAGATTTATGTGGCCGGATTTTAGTTTTAATTTAGCAAGATGCCAAATTATTAAGACAGGCTCGTAAGCAGCCGCCTGCCACAAGCTGCCAACTGCAGGCAACTCCATGCCACACACACACACACACACACACAGACGAAGTGAAGCCGTGTCGCAGCGACAACGCGTAGGACATCCAAGGACGTTGAGTACGACAAAGTCAATAAATTTTGTGGCACTGGATTGGCCAACGAGCTGAACTGAGCTGCACTTATTTAGCCCGGCTATCCACTCTCTGAGCCACTCGACAGACGCTACGTTGCAGCTGCAGCCCGCCTACCTCTGGCTGCCAGCCACACTCCGCTCCTTTTCCCAGGTGTCCCAGGTGTCTATTTTAGTTGCTTTTAACTTTGTTATGGCCACAACGTCTTACAAGCTTTTAAGGATAATGTGCCTTGTGCTGCCAAGGATTGCAAGGATAGTTGCTCAAGTTGTGGTCAGTCGGCTAGACGCTGTTCTATAGCTGCTGAGATTTCTCCAGCACACGTGAAGCATGGCAAACAGGGGGCCAGTAGAGTAGGCCAGAGAGAGAGAGAGAGAGAGAGAGAGAGAGAGAGAGAGAGGAGAGAGAGAGGGAGAGGCAGGGAAAATGATATAATATATATATATATATATATAGAGAGAGAGAGAGAGAGAGAGAGAGAGAACGAGAGAGAACGAGAGAGAGAGAAATCGATGGAGAGGGAGAGAAAAATCGAGAGATAGATGGAGAAAAATAGAGATAAAGAGAGAGGGAGAAAGAAAGGTAGAGAGTGAGAGAATGAGAGAGATAGAGAGAGAGATAGCTATAGAGATAGAAAGAAAGAGAGATATAGAGCGCCCGAGCAAAGAGAAAGAGATTAGAAATCGATTGAGAGGAAAGATACAAATCAAGAGATAGATGGACGAAAAAATAGATATAAAGAGAGAGGGAAAAAGAAAGGTAGAGAGTGAGAGAATGGGAGAGAGATAGAGAGAGAGATTTCTCTATATCTCATTTTCCCTCCCTCTCTCTCTTTCTTTCCCTCCCTCTCTCTTACTTTCTTTCGAAAGAGAGAGAGGGAGGGAAAGAAAGAGAGAGAAAGAAAGAGAGAGGGGGAATGAAAATGAGATATAGAGACAGAGGGAGAGAAAATGAGATATATAGAGAGAGAGAGAGAGAAAGAGAGAAAGAGAGAAAGAGAGAGAGAGAGGGAGAGAGAGAAAAAAGGAGAGAAATCGATTTCGATGGTGAAAGATAGTGATAAAGAGAGAGGGAGAAAAAAATATAGAAAGAGAGTGTGTTTGCGAGAGATGGGGAAAGATAGAAAGAATGTATGAGAGAGAGAGTATATCTAAGAGAGAGAATATAAGAGAGAGAGAAAGAGGGAAAGGAAGGAAATTCAAATAGAGAAATAGAGAGAGCGAGCGAGAGAGAGAGAGAGCGAAAAGTGAGAGATGAGCTCATGAACTAAGCTTTTCATGCTAAGCATCAACTCTCCGGAATAGCCCTGAAAAGTATAGTAAATCCATCTCAACTAAACATAAAGTCAGTGAAGTCCTTCAAGCTCAGCTGACTGTCTTCATTATGAATACTAATTCCATCGTAACTGTAAACATCGCATCAATAATGAGGAATGTTAAGTCAGCTGTGCTTGAAGTTCTTAGCTTCCAAGCATTGTGAGGGCTTGCTGGAGGTGTGTGTGTTAAGTTGAAGACTTGGAATTGTATTTGACAATGCTTGCAGCAATTTATTACGGCACATATGAAGCAATTAAGCTGATTGCAAAGGACCAAAGGATATTTAATTGATGTAATCAAAAACTTGAAAGCTTGACAAGGCTCCATTGCAACTCCAGGGAGGATGCAAGCCTAAACCTTACTCCGAGTAGTTACACCAGTCGAGCAGACGGCTACTCGGCCGGGCAGGTAAGCCAAACACACACGGATACACACCTGCCCAGACGGGGCGGTTTGTAGGCGCTTGACAAAAGGACATAGGAGTACGTACCTAGTACATGTGCATGGGCGCATTCCTGTGAATTTTTGTGAATTGAAATTTTTGAAATTTCCCGTCAGTCTGCTAGCGGCCAGACACATTGGAATGCCGTTAATTGTTGTCAGGCAGACGACATTGCCAGGACACAGTGTTGAGACTGTGAAATTCTTCAAGGCAAACGGGTCAAGGGGAGCTACCCAAAACTGACCATTTAAATTGACTTTTCTATCGCTTTTCTCTCACACAATCTTCCTCTCTCTCTCTCTACAGGAGAGGACTATTAAAGCTGAAGGTATTAAATCTGGTTTTTCTCCTAATAATTTCTGTAGAATTCTTGATTTGGTCTGTGTCTATACAAATAACTCTATCTTTTACTTTCTCTATATTTATATATCTATATTATGTCCATCATTGCAAGCGTCTTCCTCTCTCTCTCTCTTTCTCTTTCTCCTTCTTTTTTCAGTCTCTATCACGCTTATTCAACATAGATCAAATCTCATACCTTATCCTCTTTCTCTCTCCCACTACTACGTTTCTGTCATTCTGTTTGCCGACCTAAATCCGCTGCTGTCTCTTCTTTCTCTATCTCTTTCTGCTTCTTTATATGTCTCTCAGTCTCCCACTGTCCATAAACCAATAAGAATTAAGGAGTCAAAGCTAATAATAACAAATGTCTTGACGGAAGGAAAGAAATATACATATAAAAAAAGCGCATTCTTTTATTAATTATCTACTAAATTACATTGCTATCATAATATTGGAGAACGTAATAACAGTAAAACGTTTTAACAGTTTGCATCAATTTGCCTGAACGTTTTTTTACTAGCCAACTCTGTTGATTAACAGCGCGCTGTTAATACAAACAACTGTTGAGCGAGCTTGAGAGCGACGGCGCTCTCTTGCTCTCGCACGCACGCAAAGAAGCAAAAAGAAGGAAAAAAATAACGACAACAAAAGCATAGAACGCAACTAACAACAACAACAACGAGCAGCGCGCGTGACAGCTGCGACGTCGACGTAGCTGCCGCTGCTGACTCGACGTGTTGTACTCTCTTTCTTATTGGGAAAGAGCAGTTTTTCACCAGCCGTCAAGTTGTGTCCGTGTCGCGGTCGCGTCGTTCAACGTTTGTTGTTGTCGTCGTCGTTTTGACTAGTTGTTAAATTATTTTTAATATTATAAATACCATATGTAACGGTTTTTTGTTGAATGCGTTTAATGTTGGTGTGTGGGTATTTTTGTTTTTGTGATGCCGCCTTGCGAAATTAAGCAAACGAAATTAACAGCGCGCATCTCCCGTAGCACCACCAACAACAAGTGCAGTACAGCTGCAGCAACAACAACAACATGAAACACCAGCTGTTTGCCAGTTGACAAGTGTCGGAAATTGGCAAATCTTAAATAAATTTAAAGCAAGTCAACAAAATTCAATAAAACACTCATTGACCAAAAAGAAAAAACCGAAAATTAGTAACAAAACTAACACAAAACAAAAATTTACCGTTTTTTTGCGCTGTGGAGAGAGGGAGACGCCTGAACAACAACGACTACCGCAATAATAACAACAACAGCAATAGCAGAAATAGCAGCAGCAGCAGCAGCAAGCAAGCAAAAAGTGTTTTTTTTGAGTGTTTTTTTTTTTTTATTTTTTTTGCCTGCGCAGTTTGGTGCTCTCACGTGTTTGCGCCGACTGCGACGTCGACCGCAGAGCTTCGCATTGCCGTTTGATAAATGCAAAGATATTCCCATGCGGCCGTTTAGTACATTTTCTACTGCTTATTTTGTGTGCCGCCTACTGTTACATTTCCTACAGCTACTGCTGTTGCTGCTATTACTCTTGCTACTGCAGAAGCGGCCATGTAGCAGTTACAGTGGGCCATCCATTTATTTGGGCTCTGCCGCTGCCGTCGTCGACATCTCCATTTCGGCGTCGTTTGCTGTGATAAGCTCAGCTGCAGACTTCGGACGCTGCCATCATCACATACAGAGAGAAAAATAGAGAGTGAGAGGTGAGTAAATTTGTGGTTCTGCTTACATACTGTAACGGTTCCTGATCGCTGTGAAAGAGAATAGTTGCAAATATACATATGTACATATGTGTGTAAATATGTATGCTGGTAGGCACGTGATTATTTATGTATTTATTATATTACGCATTTAATTAATTACCGTTAATCATTTAATAAGCCCAATTAGTAAAATGCGGTATTGCGGTTAGGATTTATTTATTTTTATGCGACATATGCAATTTAATGACAGCAAATAAAAAAAACGGAGTTTTCAACGAGAAACATTGCAAAATATGTTTGAAAAAATAAATAAAAAAATTTAATTTTGCAACAATTTTAGTAATAGTTGGACGTCGGTTGTGGTTCAACCAAGAATCTATAAAGCTTTAACTTATGGCACGGCTCGATAGCATTCGGTATTAGGAATTTGTTGCATTTGATGGTCACATCGTATTATTTACAGTGCCTGCAGTTGAACAGCTGCCATTTGTCCTCGTTGCATTTTTGCAATATCCTCTCATCGCTCCCAGCGCTGTTGACGCAACAACCCGCCCCCTTCGCCAGCCCCTTGGCACACGCCCACGTAGCTGTGGTGCATGCACAGTGCCATCAATAAGTATGTCAACCGAGTCAACAGCATTAGCAGAGCGCAGATGGTCGCGGCGAGGGCGGGTTCGGGCGTAGGAGGATGGGAAGACACTGCGGACTTGAAGCATTTGTCGCCGATGTCGTCGCTCATTTGGCCAAAAAAAAAAAAACCAAAAAAAAAACAAAAAAAAAAGAAAAAGCAAAAGGAAAACAAAAACGAACGAAAGTGCAAAAAGGAGCAAGAAAAATATCCACTAAAGCGAAAAGACAAATCAAGAGAAAAGGCATTCTGGCAGACACCGCCCACACACACACAGAGACACATACACACTTAGTTACTCACCCTTCCATCCATTTCCTGCTAGCCCAAACAATATACCAAACAATTCCATTGATTTTTCTTGTGGGAATAGCAAAAATATAAGTGCGACTAGTTGCGACCAACAGCGGCGCGACACACGGCCAAGAGGAGCAGGCCATAGACATAGACATAGACATAGACAAGGACATGGACGTGGACATGGATATAGACACAGCACCAAGTACCACCAACCACCCCCATCTCTGACTCCTTTCGCAGCGCCTGCCAAAGAGTGCCGGGTGCCTGGTGCCTGGCGCAGAGCTGCGACTCCTTGCGCGCACCCATTGCGGCAGCGGCAGCGGCGGCGGCTGCTTCTTCGTTCGCGTCGTTGAACTGTTTGCAACATGCTTCTTGCTGTCATACCCTGCTTTTGTTTGACAGTGGGTATATTAATTAGGATTATAATAAAAATGAAAAAAAAAATATATATATATATAAATAATATAAAAATTTGTAGTAAAATTTTTAATGAATTAATTTTTTTTTGAAATATCATAATTTGCTATAAATTTGATATTATTACAATAAAATATAAAGAAAATTGTAAAGTAATATTTTCAACTGCTTAAAAATGTCCCAATATTATTAAAATACCATTATTTAATCATTTCTTTCCTCAACTATTATCATTTTGCTTACCCTCTACGACGCCTCTGTTTAGAGGGTAGCGTCTAGTCGACCAGCCCTGTGCAACTCGCTCCACTTTGTTTACTGTAGTTGCAATTTTTTTACCTTTAACTTTCTTTGCGCCCTGGCACCGCCGCCATCGCTACCGCCCCCACCTCCTTCCCCATCTCTCGCTTGATCCTGGCTTGGAAAACGGAATTTATGTTAATTTGGTGCTACATTCCAGGAACCGTGTCCTTTGTCTTATTTGCTTAGCTATAACTTTGTTTTGGTATTTGGTTTTTCCCTCGGCCTGGCTGCGTCGGGTTTCCAGTGGAGTTTTACTTTTTCTTTGGGGTAGGTTCTGTCTGACGATTAACCCGTACGCACTGCCCCGCCCTCCATCACGGCCCGCCTTTGGTTTCGGTTGTGTTTTTGTTTTGATTGTTTCAAGTTTTTACCATTGAGATATTTACGTTACGAAATTCCGGGCATAACTTGATAAATTCTAAGGAATTTCATTGAGGCGACTTGGAAATATTCGTTGTATCAGTTGGAAATCGTTTAGAGATCACTTGCCACAGCGGCTCATTTAGCCGTAAATAACAGGAAAGCAAAAGCTGTTTTTGCTGGTCAATCATCAGCTCCATTGGCCGCTGCTTCTGCACTTTCCATCCTTTGCCCTCTTTTTATATAATATGAGCTGGCCAAATCGATTTTTTTTGCTAATTGGCCAATTAGCCGCAGTCAACGCTCAGCTCAGGTGCTGTGATTTCCAGGTGCACTCTGCATTTAGATATATGCCTTTGTATGACTATTGCATCCTGTAATAGCTATATCGATTCGAGCTATATAATTACTCGAATGTTCTCATTCAGTCTTTTTAAGCTAAAATCCTTATATAATATATCTTTGACTTATGTATATCTAAATTCTGCAATAGTTCTATGCTAAATAGAAATGAATATTAATTTAGATAAAGTTCTATCTACCACAGTTTTATGTGTAAGCTCAGAGCTTGGTTTGGGTTGTGCACGGGTATTATGCAGTCGGCTATGCACTTGTTTTGGACATCCACAAACTCCTATACCTCACACAGAGTATGTGCTAGTCAGGCTTTCATATGCTGCACTTTTTTGCTATTTTATCTGCTCTATTCGGACCTAAACTTACTGAACTTTTGGCAGTTTTATTCCCTTGCCATTATTTTTTTTTATTTTTCCTATTTTTTTATATGTATTTTCGATACTTTTCTCATACATTTTTCAACGCTTTTGCCGGGGAAATTTGTTTTGCTTAATTGATTTCCACTTGCTCGCTAGTTCCTTCATTAGTTTCGCTCCCCCCAGTTTGAAGTGGGTCAACTGAAGTTCACTTAGGTTGTTCGGCAAAAAGTTTTCTTTGTTTTTTCTCTATTTATAAGTGTCAACTGTACTTGTTCACTGAGCTGAACTTGAAACTATCTTAGATTAATAATAAATTCGACTAGCAAATACTCTGTGTGAGCTCTAAGAGCTTTTAGTATTAGAGAATATCCAAAGATAAACAATAAATTTATCATGCGAATGCAGCTCTCAGATACTTTTGCTTTGGAAGTACGAATTTTGACTTGCAAGACTTTGCTCTTAACTAGATTAACTACATTTAAATATCTAAAGGTATATACAATATTTTCGGTTCTACACATGCGAACTTAGGCCAAGGAAGCTGTGAGATGAAAAGCAATGTTTGCATCTGCGAAATTATAAATAATTGAATCTGTTTAAGAAGACAACTCGATTGGACTGCAGATTGGATCAGCTAGCTAGGTCTGCTTGAGCTTGTTTTTGTGGCATCAGCTGGCGTTGCAAAATGCAAGCCTCAAATAGCAATTCCATGAACTGTGCACGCACACAACATAAACATAACATAAGCCACCAAATACCTCCTACACACACACACACACACTTCGAGACTATTTTATTTTCGTTTCTGGTGCATTTTTGGCCCGAACAGTCGACATATGGCCAAACAAGGCGGCCAAGCAGCAGCCAGCAAGAGTGTCTGACTTGAAGATGCCCTGTAAGCTAACACCTTTGGCCGTTGCATAGCTCGATTGATAGGTATGAATGTCTGATCTGATAAGTCATAGACCTTATAGTGGCATCGAGCTGAGATGCCGATCAATCAGAGCTGGCTTAATGTAGCCTAAGTCCTTCGTTTTGTTATATGTTAATAAGAAACTATTAAATTGTGGATCTATATCTCTAGTAATCTATATTTGTCAGATATATAGACAGCTGCTCACATATATACCCCATATTTTGCATTGCAAATAGTTTTATGAGTACAGGGCATTAAGAATGGGGAGGAAACTTTAATAAAAACATGTCAAGAGCACTTTTCGTTGAAGTAACTGCAGCAGAGGAAAAACTGTAGACGCCCACGCAGCTGCCAGGTTGCGTTGCCCCTCGCCTCCGTTGGCATCGGCTGTGGCAGCAGCAAACGGCATCCGCCCGCCGTGTTCGTTGTTGTTTTGGACTTGACCAAGTTTATTGCCTGCCATATGCAATTGCCATAGATTATTTTTGGCTTGGCGACGCTTTGACATGGCAAAGGCGTCAACGCAGCCGCCGCCCCTGCCCCTGGCAGCAACGAATCTTTCGCACAGATTTGACACCCACAGCAACGCACTAGAGCATGCCAAGCAAATGACTCCGCCCAGCCCACAGCATCACATCTGCAATTGGGCCGCTGGCTCTGACTCTGACTCTCTGGCTACGTGCCGTTGTCCAACTTGCCCAATTTTGGACACGAGGCAGCGCTTTAAGAGTGCCACTTGAAGACTTTGGGGGCTTCATGCAGTTGCGCTGCAAGTGCTCCTTGGCAAGTGGGGCAAGTGGTGCAAGTGGTGCAAGTGGTTGCCACACACAATGCAATGGCCCATGCATGCAAATTGTAGTTGCGTTTTAGTGTCAAGAGCGGCACTAGTCAAAGCCAACCGGGCTGAAGGTAATGGGGGGAAGGTAATGGGGCTAACTAAATGCAAAACGGTTTTCATTTCGAGCACTCTAAACTTGTCTCTTTGCTGCAAACAAAAAACAAAAACACAGCAAATCAGTTTGGGGAACTAGTTCATGTGAGGAACCACTTGAAAATGTGTGTTTTTTGTTCTATATTACGCAGCTCGAAATTGCTTTTTTCCATAATATGATTTAGCTATAGCTAGGTAATAAGAAGAGTTCGCGGAACTAGTTCATTAGCTGACTTTACTTTTTTGTTTGCCAAGATAATGATTGGGGTTGCCGTGCGGCTATGAAAAACAAAGCAAAATAGTTCTTGGAACTAGTTCACGTGGTGAATCACTTAAAAAGTTCGTTCTCTTTGATTTATAGCATAACTTGTTAGAGTATTAATCATAAATCACGGAACTAGTTCAACTTGTATGCTAGGTATACAGCTATAT